CTTCAGTTTCAAGCTGGAATTTCGCTCAACTTTTAATAGAAGTTACGTTGAGGAAATATGCAGAGTGAGTACTGTACAGAAACTGTAATAGAGAAAAATGACAACGCTATCCATGGAGGCACCCCTTGTTAAAAGATCATTATCTTGTTTTACAAGGGGGATCTAATTTTTGTAGTTTTTCTCATTAATCCTAATGGTGATAATAACATTATACTTAGTGATATCATAGCTGAGATCTGGCAATGCAATGAAAAGAGGACAAAAAAAAAAAAGAGTAGTCAGATAACGGTGTGTTAGATAAACCTCCAAACTTAATTGTAGGGGAAAACAATGAGGAAACGTGAAATTATTCTCCAAACTCGCCACTGTAAGACCGAATGTTTTTCATGTACAATGAGCAACGCTGTTTTCTAGAAGTCATGTATAATTGGTAATAATGTGTTTTGCCAGTTGCGTGTTTTTTTGGATAACACTTGCTGAATTTTGTTCTCTGTTAATGCCTTTTTCTGGGGCAGTACGCAGCATTGAAGTCACAATGAGGAGGTCAGGGTTGATGGTGGACACACAAAGCTTTGTCACCGAAGACCTTGGCAACAAAAGCACTTTGGTTAGGTAAGACTGTGGTTTTTAATTCATTAATGCGGCACATCACAAAACCACAATCTTCTGCTCATCTTCACACTGTGAAAAAATAATCATGAAATACATTCAGTACGTTAACTGCTAATGTTCTGTTGCAAAGGCGGTGACTGTTTTCTAGCGAGAACAAATAAAACATCTTGCTAGTTAACATTTGTACTCACACACTGAGCATCAATATGTTGCAATTTTGTAGATACATTTATTTATATCGTTTTCTCATTAGGTTATTGGAAAATGGAATTTCAGCGCCATCACATTTCCCTCTAAAGGCATTTTCTGTTGTCAAATTTGTTGTGTGTAAATTGCATTGGTCTACCTTTAAAAAAATGATATAGATAATGCAACTGTTGGCTTACAACCATGATCATCTGATTGCTTGTGCTTTTTTTGCCCCAACTTCACTGTGCTCGTTCTCGTACACAACGTTATCATCACAGATAGACAGCGTGGCCAAACAATGACAATCGAAGCTGCTGTCAACTGGAAATGCCCCTTTGATAATGAATTATATTAATGAATATGGATGAAGAAGCAAAAAAAAAAAGTATAATTGGCCCAGAACATCTAAGACAGCTTCTGCAAACTGAAACATTACAGCTATGTTTGAAAGATGAGCCACAGTTTTGGGAGATCAAGTAAATTTGCACTGATATCCTGACAGGCTTGTCCCTGTGTTCGTCATGTACAGGAAAAGGCTCAAGAACAAAGACATCAAAGCGATAATAGTAATACAGCGATTCGCCAATGAGGAGAGTTGTATTTTCTGTGACAGGGCCAGTTTATTGCAGTGGCAAACTGTCCTAAACTACTACTCCCACTGTGATTTTAAAATGCCTTTCTTTCATCTAGACGATGAAGGAGGTACAAAATAAGTGTTTTGCCATCTGCAATAAAAGAAAGTTTCTCTTTTTAATGGCATGGGTATAGCCGAGTGGGGAGTGCACCTTGCTGTTCATCTCCTGCATGCGAGTGTAAGCTGTCTGGGTGATGGCCATTATGGTTCCTGCTACTGCCTGTGCGTCCGCTCCACCGGGATCACTGAAGTGTTGGAACTAACAAGCTTGGGATGCAGACAGCGGATGCACAAATGGGATTTTGTCCTGAAAGCTTTAGAGTTCCCCCCCTCCTGTCTTCAGTGGAAACAGGAGAGAGGATTGGTAGTGTTTGCAGGGACTGTCTGAGTTATGCACCAACAGAAATGAGATGATTACATCTGATAATCTTGCTAATGATCTACACTGGGGAGGAGTGCACATAAAATTGAATGAGCTACACCGATGTACACAGTTTTTCAGTGCCGTCCTCTCATCTCTCTTTTTATCTTATTCTCTTTCACTCCAGCGCAGATTTATGCAGAATCTGAGATGTTCTCCACCCAGGAAGATATGCAATATTCCTTGTCATAGTTTAAGCACACACAGGATGTGGGGCACAGACGCACACACACAGAGAGACACATTAAAACTCTCCACCCAGATACTCCTTCATAAACACAAATGCTCGTCTCTTCCTTTTTTTCTTTCTTTCTTTCTTTCTGTCTCTCATACACACACGTGAACGTGCACAAAAGAGGCAAACAGCAAATCCGCACAATACACCCGGCCCAAGGTTAGTAGATTAAAAGATGTGCCATTGATGGAAGAGGCTCGTCCTCCCTCCCCGGCCTGTCACAGTGTGTTTGGGAACAACCCACTTCATTTTAGCAGCATAATGGGTAAACAGAGTGTGATCAGTCCAATTACCCCCTCATTGCAGAGGCGTTCTGGCGGGAATGGCCTGTGGAGAGAGTTAGCTGTCTGGCGTGCGACGAAGTTGCAACAGTAGCACCTGCTGCCCAGAGCCCTCACTTGTATGAATCGCAATTTGTTTGCACAGCCGTACCAAAAAAACGGTGACCAAGAAGTGAGCCCTCTGAGGAGGACGGCACCGCTGTGGCTACCCCCTCTGATTGCTGTTTTTCACTGCACTGTCTGCGAATGTGTGCAAGATCAGAAGGTGGTGTTCTCGGCGATGAACTCGTGTCAACGTCAGTCCTTCCACTGGATTGTTTTGCGGTCGGTCTTGCTGTGCAGCTTTCAAGGACTGTGAATTCTCTTATCCCCCGACCGCACCAAGTTTTACAGCTGAGTAGATGCATGATTTTGCCTCCGAGAGTTGAGCCACAGTACAGTAACAAGCTGCAGGCCTACATATGAATTCTGAAAAATGTCAGTGATGTGTTTTTTTTTTTGTATTGTTTGCTGATTTTGTGTTTATAATCAAATGAAGCAGAAGCTCCCCAACTTTTCGACACCCGACCCCGTGACATATGGCTCGCTGTCAAAGTGATCACTATTTCAGCCTGGTATCATGAAAACGCGTGTTCCAGTAACACACCAAGTGACTTCCCGTGGTACCGGAGAGCATTTTTTGCCTTGGGCGTTTAATTGCATGTCATGTAGTCGCAATGAATAACCCCTTTAACCCAGCCTTAACCATCTTGTGCGTCATACTTGGAAATCTTAAAAAGAATCAAAATGACACATGATGCGGCGTGCTGTTTATATGCTTGATATCATGTAATACTGAGCAAACATACAGAATGCAGGTGCAGCAGACTCACAGCTAATATCCATGTGTATGTTTGCAAACTCCTACACTGTTGCAGGCAAGTGCAAACTCATATTTTTTGGAATTTCTACTTTAATTTCAATGTGAAACCAACCTAATGAGATGAGTGGGCACTATGCTTGGAGCATAGCAGTGCATTCAGTGTGTAACTTTGCTTGCATAGTTTTGTTCAAAATTCAACAACTATTTTTTTTGTAACAATTATTGTTAAAATCTGCTATTTATAGATTTATTTTCATTTTTATTGGAAGTCATATCAAAATACAACCTCTGTGTTTCACAACCCCACTCAGGGTTCCCGAGCCCCACTTTGAAAACCACTGAAATAAAGAGTAAAACAGGACAGTTGGCTTTTACAGTCTGTCCCATAACTAACAGTCAGGAGAAGCTTGACATGTTTATGCACTTGTGGAAGTCATTGAGTAACTTCAGGTTCTGGATTGGTTTAGCCTTGACAGCAAGTGGTAATTAATCTCACTTTATCTCAAAATGTAACGTACAGTGACATATCTGGTAACATCCTGCTTCTGTGATGTGTCCGTTGTCCTTGAAGAAGATGGAAATTCATCTCTTTATGATTCTGCCTTGGGCAGCTGCATGGCAGCTGATGGAAATGTATCTAATATATGTTTTAGTTCTGTATTACCAAGTCTCACAATAACTTCTAGAAGTCAAAAAATAAGGCTTTTTAAAGGCTGATATACAATTTCAGCAAGAACTGACAGAGAGCTCTGTCAGCAGGAAGTAGGAATTGCCTCTCAGGATTCATTTAGCTCCACTAATTGAAACTAATACCTTTCAAATAGCATATTGATTTGGAAGAAGTTCAATTTTTCAGATGTGCACTGTAAAAATGAAGGAATAATACAAACCGTGAAGGTGCCAAGATTAAAAGAAAGTTGTTGGAGGCTCGTTTCCTCCGTGGCACCACAAATCATGAACATGATGCCAAACATATCATAGTATGACTTCAAAGGTGCTTTTGTTTCTTGGGCTGTAGTGCAGCAGAAGGCCGGGGGCGCATTGTGTTAGAGGCCTAATTAGAAAAAAAAAAAGAAAAAAAAAACCTCTTATGGGATCACAAGAAATACAGGTAGAAAAGCCCGCTCCTCTGCAACACTGCTGCACCTCCTGGATCTTTATCACTGAGTCCAACTGAATTTCCCCCAAATGTACCCTCGTACGTGAACGCGCCTGTGCACAGTTGACAGGTGAATCCGGTGTTGATTGATGCAAGCAAATGATGTTTTCTTCCCCCCGTCGTTTCAGAGGCAAAAAAAAGATAAATAAATAAAAAAATCTTGCCCACGGTGAACACTGGTTTCCAAAGCGCAAATTACTTTTGCTGTCAGCGGCTCCGACTCTATCAAGCGCTGTCTTGGATAACTTTTACAGGTTTACATAAAGAGTCTAAGGTGTTACTAAATAAAACCTCCCAGACAAAAAAAATAAATTAAACGGTGGGAGAGTTTCAAAACGATTTCAGCATTTTCAAGGCTTTTTTTTTTCAGACGTCCTCATGAACAATGAGCTCTCACCGCTCCTGCAGTCACTCTCCGTCGGCGCGTTTGCCTGATGCGCAGCGCCTCCCCAACTGGTCCCTCACTTTGACAAATTCCTGGACGTGAGCGGGTCTGCTGAATGGCTTCTTGCTCGTAAAGATGATCCCTTGAATATTTTAGAAGTTGAACAGCTCTGCCGCACTGTGTTTCCCCCCCACCGGCAGACTAACAGATTGGAAGAACACAATGGGACTTTGGTCATTTTGGAGTTTTGCTTTTTTGGCTTCCGTGTTGCTTTACCCCTTTCACCCCAAGTTTGTGGCTCAAGCGGAAATAACTTTTCCCAGAACAATGGACAGATTCTATCGCCTGGATCTAACGCCACCGGAGGCACGTGTATCCAGAAAATCTACGGAGATTCAAGTCTCACGCAAAGTCGACGACGGCACGAAAGTTTTAAACGCTTTCGAAAGCGAAGCGGACGGTGCGTTGATGCCAAACAATGCCCAGCAAGAGGGGAGTGAGACTGAGGCACCGATCGGCGTCAAACCAAACTATCACAGTGGTCTCAAAATGCCCGGTAAAAAGTATGGCAACATTTCTGAGGACAAGCAGGGGCGACCGAGCGCGAGTATAATGTTACAAAGCGCATATTCTGTGAGACGAAAGAAGGCAAAAAGGAGTGTGGGTGCAACATACAGCGAAAACGTGGATAGGAGTATAAGTGGAGAAGCGCAGTCCAGAGAGAGGTTTGTGGAGACTGTCCAAGGTGTTTCCAGCTCCAGAGCCGAGTACCGGCGCACTGGGGAGGATGCCAGAGGGTCAAACCCGAGGCAAAGTGAGCCTCACCTGGACACTTCTACTTTTGCTTTGTCGGGAGACTCGGCACACAACCATGCGATGGTGCACTGGTCCGGGCACAACAGCAGCGTGAGTTTCAGTTTTACAAAACCACGTTCCCACATATCACAGAGGTTTTAGAGAACACGATAATGCCCCACACAAGAATCATATTTTAAATATTTCTTTCTGCTTGAAATAGAAATTTGGAACGTTTTTTTCTCTCTCCACGAATCTGTCTCATTTTTACGCACAGCTGTTTCGGTGCGCAGGAGGGGAATTCCTTCCTGCAAATAAATTATTTCAGGCTCCCATAGCCTTGAACTGAACGATGCTTTCACTCTTTTTACATTCATGGTTCTGTTTTCTGTTATTGCCTGCATAGAGATTGTGAGTGTATGCGCATTGCGCGCCTGTGTGCGTAGATGCCTGATAGATATGGATGTGCACTTGCAGGATTCCCTCGTGCCTTTTCAAACTCGAGTAGAATCATTTATTTCAGCAAACTGTTTGTCACCTGAACTTTAAATTAACAGTTAACCCCGCAGGTAAATTTGATGTGGCACTGAGCTGTGGGAAGGTGCAGGCATTTTGGCAGCAATCACAACACATTAATTATTTATGAAATCATCAAGTAATGCCTCTCAGGAAGGTGTAGTAGCTACAATTAAAAGGACTGTGTCCAACCTGGGCCATAATGTGACGCTGATGAGAGACTGTCTGCCCTTTTGGCAAATTAAACAGGCTTTTGTCATTGACATTTAACTCACACTTAGTTGATAGTTGTCCAATTGCCTGGGTGGATAAAATATTCCAGTATGTTTGATGTCTAGATGATTCCAAAGTTCGCACTTCAAAACAGCTTAATGGGAATGTGCATAACTTAAATGGATGACAAGACATTGCAGTAACCATCCAGTCAACCCCCCCCACCACACACACACACAGTCACACACCCTCACAGACAGACACACACACACACACACCCCTGCCACAGCTGTACGCACATCCACACCGTGTGGTTGCACACCATTTTACCGTCACAAAGACAAAGCCATGGAGATTTTATCTCTCACTTTACATATACAGCATGCAAAAGTGTTTGCAAGCGGCAGCATTTATCAGACACAAAGATCTTGAAACTACCAACAGCCTTGTACAAAAGGAACGAGATGCTCTGCATTTTTTCTTCAGGTAATTTAGATCACCTGAGTTTGTTGGCCAGAAAAGGTTTGCAGCAGAAACATTAATCTGAGACCACATCTAAAGATTTCTGTGTCCCAGAAAAACTCCAAATATACATACATTATCCAGAAATGCAGCTATATTTCACTGAGTGAATTATACAATTTAATTTCTAATTGCATTTTCGTGTCTGGTGCATTTGGTGTTTCATGATGTGTGTCATTATGTTAGATGCGTCACAGACTTGGCATGTTGGTGCGTCATTGAGGACCGTCCAGAAACACACCCAATAAAATCTGATTTGTGGGGTGCATTATGAAATATGCTGTTGGTTTGAGATGTCTTCAGCCACGATGGCCTTTTGCTCAGCAGGACACTGTTCACTGGATCCTCACTGATGGGCTTGTCACTGCAGCCAGTCAACATTTGAGATTTATACAGTCTGAACTCCTGTCTGTGGTCCCAAAAGTACGACTGAAACTGCAGAGTGTAAATTGATGGCATTTTATGACTAGATGTTAGAGCTCCGGCTATATTAGATGTAAATGACTGATAATAAATCCAATCTTAAAGGGACATTTGAAGGAAAATTACTTCATTCCTGTGGTCTAGAATAGTTCTATCAAATATTCACTTCAAGACTTTGCCTGTGATCTGGCCAAGATGTAAAATTCCACAGGGAGTAAAATGAGAAAGATGTAGAAGGTGATGGTGAAAGCGCCAGCGGGGAATCTTCAGAGTTCAGATTTGATAAAGAATTTCATCGTATAAAGCCTCAAATCTGTCCACAAATCAGTCTCCCAACTATTATTCGATTTCTGTGATTGTCTGAGACATCAAAGCCTGGAGTCATAGCTCTCTGGTCTCTGACTTTAAGAGAGATAACATTGATTGGACTCGACCATGGGAATAAAACATACCGCACAAATTCCCTTTTAAATTCATGCTTCTTAACTACATGTAGTATTGATTGGCTGTGCATGTCTGGCTTCTTAAATCTGCCCTGAATGTGAATGTGGATGGCGATATAAGGATTCTCGATTTGTAATGATGTGTGCCCTAAATGTGGGGGAAAAAACAGAAAAATAAACTCATTAAAAATACTAATAAATACACTTGGCTCTGGGAGTCCTGTGTGGCAAATCAATATTTCAGACTTTTGCCTCACATGGGTGTTCAAGCTGTGATGTGACAATGTTGGTAATCTTTTCAAACGGCCATTGCAGCACATCCTACACTCAGGGGATGCAGAGCCCCCCCTTTCCACCCCCCTGAAGGCAAAAGTCTTAGTGTGCAAGCCAGCTGGTGATCAGGGAGTTATTGGCAGCCAAATGATTTTAGGCTCCTGATTGACCATTTTTGCAAGCTCCTCGCAGACAGCTGACCAAACTAGGACACTGTGTTGAAGCTGAGGACAGTAATGAGCATCTTTATTGACTCCACATCCCCTGAGCTTCTGCTGCAGAAATGATACTATATGTTGGTGTAAATAATGTCCAAATACCATGAGAGCAAGGGTCTGTCATTTTCATTGGCCTGCTATTGGGTAACATGCTCTAGGAGGGGCCAGACATTGATGTGGCCAGCTGTTCTTTTTGGCTGCCGAGTAAATCTCTTTGAGTTTTTATTTATTTTTTTTGCTATTTCTTCTGAGGTGGCGAAAGTCAAACCAATCTGTCATTTCTGTAGCATTGTCTTTTCTTTTTTTTTTGCTGCGACTGACTGGGAATCAGACAGGCCTCCTGGGCCACGTTGTCCGCATGCTTAATCAGAATGAGGCCGTTATTGTTGCACATAATCTCATCGGTATAAATAGACAATAAAAAAGAGGAAATGGCACGGCCCTGGGGGACACCTGTGTTTAAAACCGGTTCATTAGATAGACAGCCCTTCCATTTAACATGCCAGAGCTGGTTGCACAGAAACTCCTTGATCCATAAAATCAAATGGAACGGGTTCCCAATTCGCAGAGGCGTTTGACCAGAGTTTGGGGCTGTTTCAGAATGATGAAAAAGTGCATTAAAAAGCCGCCGCTGTTGAGGTGTTGGGATACGACAAAAGGAGAAGTTTCAGTGTGTTTTTGTTTCCCACATTCCTCTTTCATATTCTACTCACACAAGTGCCTTTTTCTACGTTTGCAGTCGTGATTTGGGGAATGATCCCTCCAATTAAAAAAAAAAGAGGAAATCACATGATGTTCAGTCAAAGGCGTTGACTGATATGTGACCTTCTAAAGCCTTTTATTAATGCACGTTTTATCATCCACTGGCCCCGGGTTGCTGGCTACAGCGATTTTGATCCATACTGCGTTTGATGAAAATCAAAAGCAGCTCATGTTCCCACATTTGAGTACAAATTATTTCCCTTCTGTTGCACACTTTGTATTAGAATTTTTGATTTTTTTTGCAGCACATCAGCATATGGGGATTTTTAATTTTGTCATTTTTTATTGCTTCCACTGATGGTCAACTGATTGAATCTTACTCAAGATGATTTAAATATGATTTTTAGCCAATTTAGAAGAAGAAAAAAATCAGGATGTGTTTTTTTTTTTCTTCTACCAGCCATTTCCGTCCTCTACCTGCTTGTCCCTCGGGGTGTCAGCACCACACGCCTGTTCATTAATCCAGGCCGTCTGGAGCCTTTAGGGGTGTACTGTCCACTGATGTGATTGTAAGATGGTGATAGAAACTGCAGCAATCCTGTATACTCTGCAAGAGGAGGAAAGTTGAACTCCCACTTGAGCCACAGCCGCTGATTGTGACCACATCACAGAGGGGGTGCACCCTTCGCTGAGTCTGAATCCTTTCTGTGGGTAATGCTGGAGTTACTGTGATGGCTATTGTCATGTGACACAGTTACATGTTAACTCTGGCTGGACTTGTGTTGCTGGCCCAGGACTTTCTGTCTCACTGAAAACTGTTGGATGAACTGTTGTAAGTATGCGTGTTGCTAACAAGAAAAGGCGATCAGATTCAGTTCCAGCTTCCTACCTGTGTATTATAACTGCTGATTAATGGCTATTGCTATGACTGTGATCGTGACGAGGGCTGTAACATTGGCCAAGACAGTGTTTACATTACTGCACAGGACTTGAACGTGCCACTTTGATCAGATATGGAGGCTTCAGGCGTGCAGGTCAGTTAGTTTTGCACATTATAAAAACATTACCTTTCTCATCACAACAGCCAGTGGCTACAACCATAATCATAGCAGCATAGATACCCCAAGCTATGCAATAGTGAGCCAAACATTGTGATCACAGATGAGGCGAAAAGGATTATCCTGCAACAATGGTGCAGGCCAAGGTCCAGGATGTGTTAGGGGGTGAGGAAACAGTTGGTGCTCGTAGTTGTTGGATAGGTATTATGTTGGAAATGGGCAGACTTTAAGGTCTTAGTAATTTTGCAGTAATTGTCCAGGTCAGAACATTTTCGAAATGACAGGGCTCATGGGGTGCTCCTGGTGAACAGTGGCGAGCACCTGCTGACTGCAATCTGACACGAGACAAACCATGTGACTTGATTCAGCTTAAACCTTAAGGTAAAAAAAAAAAAAAAAAATCTGCAGCTGCTGTTTTGCTTGTGCAACTTTAGAGGATTTGTGGAGTCAGTGTTAGGCAGGTTTGGTCATAATGTTAAACTAATTAGTGTATACACCCGTCAGCTACAACGGTTTATTTCAATCTGGCGTATTTCTTGTAAATGTAGCTGTCACGACATTGTGGGCCATTTTGACTTTGCACGCTGTGCTTCCATTGTGGAGATTTAAACCGAGGACAGAGGAAACCGAGGAGAACCGAGGAGCTGCACAAAACAACATGTGAATAGTGTTTAACGAGGCCGTTTATTCATCATATCCTATTCATATGTGCACTCTGGTTTGTTTACATTTGAGGCGGAATT